TGCTTCCGTTGTGCAAAGAGGAAGGCAGAGGCCCTGGGGAAAGACGCGGGATTTGCCTTGAGCCAACACTGGGGCAGGGCTTGCAGATCACAGCTCCCTTCAGACACCCTGGGGAAAGCTCTTCCCCGGCTCCCACCGGGACAGGGTGGGTTGCAGGGGCTAGGCCAGCGCTGTTCTCTGGCATCAGATGGGAAAGGCTAGGGTTGCAGTCTCCATCCTGCCGTCCTCCCTTTCCTCCAGGGCCATGTGGAAGAGCTGTGGGGCCTGGCCGCGCACCCCAGCCGGGCACAGTTTGTGACCTGTGGGCAGGATAAGCTGGTGCATCTGTGGAGCTCGGAGTCCCACCAGCCCCTGTGGAGCCGGAGCATCGAGGTGAGGGCAAGGGGGCTGGCCACACCGTTCTAGCAGAGCTCCTCCTGTCCATGCTGGGGCCCAGCGCATGGACGGAAACCACACAAGGTCTTTTTAAGCATACGAGGATTTAATACAGGGAATTGGGTTCCTATAAGTTCTCTTGGTCGGGCTGAAGAGTGGGTTCTCTCGACAGAACGACACCACAGAACTGACCCTCCAGGGAGCCTCTGCCACAGACAGGAGGTGGGGAGTCAGGAACCACTGAGTTCCAGAACATGCTGTCAGAACTGCCGTCCAGAAACCAGGAAGCTGCAGCCGCTGTGACTGCTGAGTCTAGAGCTACACTGTCCCATGTGAAAACTACTGGCCACACATGGCTATTCAAACTTAAATGTAAATAGAATTAAAAACTCAGTTCCTTGCATTAGCCACATTTCAAGGGCTCAATTGCCACATGCGGCTACCGTTCTAGAAAGTGCAGATGTAGAATATCTCTGTCATCACAGAAGGTTCTGTTGGACTGTCTTGCTTCAGAGCTACTCGATGCTGGCTAGATGTGTACGCTGGTCATAACAGACACTCTGCACCATTGCCTTTCAACACGCACGAGGCTAGTGACTGCACGTGGGGCGCCAGCATAGCAGATCCTGTTGCTTTTACAACCCAGCTGGTCCGTAGGAGTGGCAGAAGCCAGCCTCCACCTTCTGCCCTCCAGAGCCACAAAAGTGCATCTGGTCATTGGATCCAAATCACAGCAGCATCCTGCAAAGGATTCTGGTAGATGTAGTTTTTACGCACCCCTGCCTATACAGTGTGAGAAGACACATCAGAAGAAAGGCAGTCAATCCACTATATCCCCCACACCATCCTTTGAGGCTTTGCTCCAGGAATCCCTTCAGAGTTACCTTTGACCTTGGACTACTTTATCGCCTTTGAACTTCTGTGAATCTGCATAGTGTGGAAATTGTTAGGGGCATGTATTATAATCCTCATCCTGGCTGCCTTAATTGAGCACCTGCTATATGACAGGCCCTGTGCTCAGCACAGCAGTTCTCTAGGTTGCCAAGGGCATCAGATCACCTGGGAAGTTGCTAGAAACAAGATCCCAATCCACAGAGAGTCTGATTCAGGAGGTCTGAGTTTGGGACCAGAAATCTGCACTTTTCAACAAGCTCCCTCAGGTTATTCTGATTCAGGTGGTCTGTGGACCGTGCCAGGAGAAATCGGCTCAGCTCTTTGCTTGTGCTATGTTTTTGTTTTTTTTTTTTTGAGACAGAGTCTCACTCTTTTTGCCCAGGCTAGAGTGAGTGCCGTGGCGTCAGCCTAGCTCACAGCAACCTCAAACTCCTGGGCTCAAGTGATCCTTCTGCCTCAACCTCCCGAGTAGCTGGGACTACAGGCATGTGCCACCATGCCCGGCTAATTTTTTTTCTATATATTTTTAGTTGGCTGATTAATTTCTTTCTAATTTTAGTAGAGGCAGGGTCTCGCTCTTGCTCAGGCTGGTCTCGAACTCCTGAGCTCAAACAATCCGCCCGCCTCGGCCTCCCAGGAAGCTAGTGTGCTATGTTTTTGACTCCTCCTGCAAACTCTACAAGGCAGTGGGGATGTCAGATCCCCACTTGGAAACAGGCTTAGAAAGGTGAAATCACGTGCTCTGTGTCACAGTGTAGTTATAGCACTTTACTGAGTGCTTACTGTGGCCCATCGTACTAGCATACCATCTTAAAGACTCTACATCTTGCTTATGATGATCTTGGGAAGTATCTTGAAGATCCCCATTTGCCAGATGAGGCAATCAAGGCTTGGTCAAGGACGGTTATTTGATGTTACTCACATAGCCGGAAAGTGTCGGAGCCACAGTTTGAACCCAAGTCTGACTCCATGGCGCTGTGTTGCCTGCAAACCAAACAAATGCCCATCAAACTAAAAAATAATAATACCCGGTGCTGATGAAGATGTGGGGAAACAAGCACTCAGCCAAAACTAGTGATAAGTCGATATACTTTTGTGGAAAGCAAATGGCATTATGTATCAAAAGTTTTAAAGTTATGGATACCCTTTGTCCCAGCATTCCTACATCTGGGAAATTAGCTAAGGATGTCATCTTGGATAAATAAACCTGCAGAAATTTAGAGCAGGAGTAAAAAAGGATCCAGAGACAGCAGTGACAGGAGGACTGTTTTCTATTCAGGCTGACATGTTAAAGGAAAGGGGAATGGTTTCCTGGGAGTCTGGGGTGGGAGGTTGCTGGAGGGCAGCAGAGGGAGGGGAGAGCCCTCCTGCCAGGCTGAGAGTTGGCTCTGAGGCAAGAGAATGGCCAGAGGGACATGGGACCCCAGCTCTTAGCCCTGCCTTCTCTCTCTCCCTTCTCAGGACCCTGCCCGCTCTGCTGGCTTTCACCCCAGTGGCTCTGTCCTGGCCGTGGGCACGGTGACCGGCAGGTAAATTGAGGAAGGCATTTGGGGAGGGCTTCCCCACTCCCCGGGGAACTGGCCCCTCTCTCTCTATCTCCCTACCACCCTGAAGCCCACTGTTTACCAGGCCCTGATAGCTCCATATTCCTTTGGAGTCAGCCTCTCCCAAATCTCTCCTGGGGTCCCTTCCGCGGGCCCCACAGATTGGTGGCCCTCTCTGTCAGCTAAGCTTACCCCTCCTCCCCCCACCATGCCTTCTCCTCAAAGATGGCTGCTGCTGGACACAGAGACCCACGACCTGGTGGCTATCCACACAGATGGCAACGAGCAGATCTCAGTGGTCAGCTTCTCCCCAGGTAAGGGGCAGGCCTGGGCCTCGGAGAGGCAGGGCCTGGGGACCAAGGCTCGGAGTTACTAGCAGGAGGAGGGGATGGAGCCGGTGCCGCAAGGCCTGGGAGGGGGACTGTAGCAGGGAGGAGCTTGGGACTGCTGAGGGGGCTGAATCTGGGTGAGGAGGGGGCGGAGCCTGGGTGCCTCCTCATAGCCCCTCCCCCTCCCCCAGACGGGGCGTACCTGGCCGTGGGCTCCCACGACAACTTGGTGTACGTGTACACGGTGGACCAGGGCGGCCGCAAGGTCAGCCGCCTGGGCAAGTGCTCGGTGAGTGGGCAGTGGCCCCCAGCCCGCGCCACCACCCGCACAGGGAATGCAGAATTAACCACTTTTGTACCTCAAGGGAGCACAGCTTCAATACTCAACCGACCGCTCTGATCACATCCAGGAGTCTTGGCCCCGCCCACACATTTACCACCTCCTGTGTTCTAGTCCCGCCCCTCGTGTAGCCCCGCCCCTCACGTTCCAAGATGCTCCCTTTGTGTAGCCCCGCCCCTGACATTCGAAGCACACCCCTCCGTGTAGCCCCGCCCCTTGCATTCACAGCCGGTCCCTCTGTGTCTAACTCTAACCACATGTCCTAAATTCCCCCGTGTCCTAAGTGCTTTCTGTCTAGCCCCGCCCATCACAGTCTGGCCCCGCCCATGGTAGTCTGGCCCCGCCCCCACACTCCAAAGGCCTGTGTATCCTCCCTTCAGACCCCTTGTGTTCTCACCCCACCTCTGTATTTTGCTTTCCACCTTCCTGATTTAATCCCGTCCTCTCTTTGGTTCTGCCCTCTGCAGCTCTAACTCCTCCCCTTCCCTCCCCAGGGCCATTCCAGTTTTATCACCCACCTGGATTGGGCCCAGGACAGCAGCTGCTTTGTCACCAACTCCGGGGACTATGAGATTCTGTACTGTGAGTTCTCCAAGACCCAAAGGCATTCCTCCCCCAGTCTCACTTGCATGTGTGGTTTGCATAGACTCCCCTGAGTTCTGGGAGGGGAGGCAGGGGTTTCCAGTCCCTCTGTCCCCTGGCTCTTGGTACTCAGGGGCTGTTCTGATTCAGAATTCCCCGGAGTAACCTGCTTTTAACCAATTTGTCCCCTTTCTGGTTGGATGGGGACACAGCTCAGGCTGTGGGTGTCAGGACCCAAGATCCAGCCTTCTCAGCCAGTACGGAGAGGCGGAAGGAGCCCTGGGACCTTGGCCTCCTGTGGGCACCATAGTGCCCACTCTCTGTGAAACGGATGGGTTTAGCCAGGAGTTCCTCTAGCTCTGAACACCTCCCCCGATTTTCTGCCCCAGGGGACCCGGCTACCTGTAAGCAGATCACCAGTGCAGACGCTGTGAGGAACATGGAATGGGCCACAGCTACTTGTGTCCTGGGGTTTGGGGTGTTTGGTAAGTTCTAGAATGAGGAAGTCCCACTGAGGACAGGAGTTCCAAGAGACATCCCTGACTGGTAGTTTTCACAATCTCTTATTGATTCTCCAGGGCGGGGAACTCACTCCTTTACTGCGTGTGGGCTGTGTTTTGTGGAAGAGGAAAGAGTAGAGTGAGATGACCACTTAGAGCTGTAATCAAATGAAACTAGATGTGTGGTGGCAACTGGCCCAGAGAAATGATCCACACAGCGATGCCCCAGCGGATGCAGGCACAAATGCAGTCAGCATATACTCCCTGAGCACTTTTGCATCCCCCCGACCCAGACAGGGCAGTGACCACAACAGCCCCAGCCTACGGCCCAAATTGGGGAGGGCTGGGACAGGGAAGCCAAGGAGGTGGAGGGCGCCCTCCCTCTGGGAGGGAGTCCGGGAGGGGTTCTTGGAGGAAAAAGACATCTGAGCTAGAACTTGGAGGACGAGGAAGGACTTTCCAGGGCAGTAAAGGAGAGCAGTCTCTGGGCAAAGGCATTAGCGTGTGCAAAAGCCAAGAGGTGACATAGCACGTGCATTTGGACAAATGCAAGAAGGCAGGCTGGCCACATCGCTGCTGGGTTTAAGGGGAGCACTGCGAAAGATGACGCTGAAGCAGTGGGTGGGGCCCGCTGAGATTTGAGGGTCATAGGCTTTCTCCTGAGGACACTGGGGAGCCATGGAAGGCTTTTGAGCACTGCAGGGACAGGTCAGATTCACATTTGCAAAACATCATTCTGATTCCTATCCTTGGATAGCTATAGGCTAGGCAGGAAGAAGGCAGGGAGGCTGGGGTGGGGGCCTGCTCCTCCAGGGGGTCCCTGACCCCAGCTGACATCTTACCACTGCCCCAATCTTGCCCACAGGGATCTGGTCCGAGGGGGCGGATGGTACTGATATCAACGCTGTGGCCCGCTCCCACGACGGGAAGTTGCTGGCTTCCGCTGATGACTTTGGCAAAGTCCACCTGTTTAGCTACCCTTGCAGTCAGCCTCGAGTGAGTCCCTAAGGGGCGTGGTGGGACAGGGGGCAACAACAGGGCTAGGGACAAGATTCAGGCAGCTCTAGTCCAACCCCACCCCTGCTCCAAGCTTGAGCTTCCACATCTGTACAAGATGGACAGTGGGCTTGATCTTGCGAGCCCTTTAAACCTGAAAGTCCATGAATTCCAGAGTCCGTAGTGCTGAAGATGTGGCTTTCAGAAGTTCGGAGCATCTGCAATTCTGAGATCTTTGGTTCTTTTGTCTTTTTTAACTCAACAAATATTTATTGAGCACCTACTGTGTGCCCGGGCATGGGAGATACAGCCAGATCTTGCAAGTTTTTAAGAGAGGCCAGAAATCATGATTTTTTTTTTTTTCTCACCAGTCAAGACAATCCAAAAATAATCGGGATTTTTGGCTGGGTGCCATGGCTACCACTTTTAATCCCAGCACTCTGGGAGGCCAAGGTGGGAGGATCGCTTGGATCACTTGAGGCCAGGAGTTTGAGACCAGCCTGGGCAACATAGTGAGAACCTGTTTCTACAAAAAACAAGAAAAGTTAGCTAAGCATGGTGGTGCACGCCTGTAGTCCCAGCTACTTGTGAGGCTGAAGCGGAAGGATCCCTTGAGCCCAGGAGTTCAAGGCTACAATGAGGTATGGGTGAGCCACTGCACTCCAGCCTGGGTGACAAAAAAAAGAAAGCAGGATTTTAATGTGAACTCTTCTAATTTTTAAATAAATAAACTCCAGCCCAGGCTGGAGTGCAGTAGTATCATCATAACTCACTGCAACCTCAAACTCTTGGGCTCAAGCGATCCTCCTGCCTCAGCCTCCCTAGTAGTTGGGACTGCAGGAGTGCACCACCTCACCTGGCTAATTTTTCTCTTTTTTTTTTTTTTGTAGAGAGGGGGGTCTCACTATATTGCTTAAGCTGGTCTCAAACTCCTTACTTCAAGCGATCCTCCTGCCTCAGCCTCCCAAAGTGCTAGGATTACAGGCGTGAGCCACCATGTCTAGCTGCCATTAATTCGTTGAAGACACTAGTTAAGATGCCCGCTGGTTCTTAAAGGAGAGGCTTATTAAGCAGAGAAGAAGGGGGTTGGGACAAGAAGACCATGGGTGGCATTGCTGTCTCTGACCTTTCTTTACTTCTTTCCCTGTAACAGGCCCTCGGCCACAAATATGGCGGACACAGCAGCCACGTGACAAACGTGGCCTTCTTGTGGGATGACAGCATGGCCCTGACCACAGGGGGCAAGGACACCAGTGTGCTGCAGTGGCGGGTGGTCTGAAGTGGCTCGGGTAGAATCAGGTGGTGGGGCTGGAATTCTATTTTCGGGAGATGTCTATTGCCG